TGCGGATTAGGAATGGGATGGGATTGCATTGAGAATGAGATCCTGAATTGGGAATGGGATTGGATTAGGAATGGGATCCTGGGTTGGGATTGGGAACGGGATCCCAGATTGGGATTGCAGATTAGGAATGGGATGGGATGGGATTGGGAGGGAGTGGGATCACGGATTGGGAATGGGATTTCAGAATGGGATTGAATTGGGAATGGGATCTTGGATTGGGAATGGGATCCTGAATTACAAATAGGATTGGATTGGGAATACTAGGAATATGATCCCAGATTGGGAATGGGATCCTGGGAAAAGCCACATTCCCACAGGGGGATTCCAGAGCCTTCCCTCTGGATTGCCATTCCCAGAGGAATTCCACAGCCCTGTGGATCCCTCCAGGAGATTCTGGAGCCTCCAGCTACAAAATTCCCAAAAAACCCAGATCCATTCCCACATTCCTCCAGGACATTCCAGAGCCTCCAGCTGAATATTCCCAATAAAACCTGATCCATTCCCACTCTCTGGATCCACATTCCAAATAAAATGGATCAATTCCCATCCTCCTCCTCTTCCTCCTGCCTCAGGACATTCCAAAGCCTCCAGCTGAATATTCCCAATAAAACCTGATCCATTCCCACCCTCTGGATCCACATTCCCAATAAAACTGACCCATTCCCACATTCCTCCCGAGCCTCCACCTGAATATTCCCAATAAATCCCGAGGCACCCAGAGAATTCCCAAGGATTTCCCTGTGTTTTCCCATTCCCGCTGTGTCCAGCCCATCCCTAAACCACCCCCCCCCCACCAAAACCCCGGAATTCCTCCTTCCCCCAACACCTCCCGGGGAAAGCTCTGGATTCTGGGATTCAGGGAATTCCCAGGAGGGCAGAATTCCCGGGATTCCCAACCTTCCAGGTTCTCATCCAGGGGCAGGGAGACTCCGACGTCGCAGATCTTGACGGAGTCGAAGGCTCCGCGCACGACCACGTTGGGGGATTTGATGTCGCCGTGGAGCAGCCGCTGCTCCGTGTGCAGGTACTGCGGAATTCCCGGGAAAATTCCCGTTGGATTCGGGAGAAGGGAGGAGAGGGGGGGGAAAAAAAAAAAAAAAATCCCAGATCCTTGGCCTCGGAAACTCGGGGGAGGCTCGGAATCCGCGGGTTGTGGGATTTTGGTGGATCAGCCCCCGCCCGGATCCTGGCGGGTCCTTGGGTGTTCCCAGGGATTCTCTGGGAATTCCAGCCACGAATTCCTTTTCAAATCCCATTTCCTCCTTTCCCAGGGAATTCCCTCCATTCCCAGCTCTCCCAGCTCTGGCATCAGATCCATCCCCATCCCAACTCCTCTCCCGGAAGGAATTTCAGGATCCAGAGGCGTCTCTGGGAATTTGGGACTCCAGGAAGGGTCTCCCTTCCCTTTTCCATCCCCGAATTCCATAAAAATCCCTCGGGATGGATTCTGAGTGTCCTGGATCCCAGAATCCCGTAATGGTTTGGGATGGGATCCATGAGTCTTCAATCCCATCCCATTCCAATCCCGCTATCCCAGGGTGATCCAACCTTTCCTTGGACACTGCCAGGGATTCTCTGGGAATTCCATCCCAGCCAGGAATTCCTTCCCCAGATCCCCTTTCCCACTGGAAGCCATTCCCTGGCTCCTGGCCCTCCAGCCCTTTCCCAAATCCCAGCTCTCCTGGAAACCTCTGGAAAAGGCTCCCAGCATTCCCTGCATCCTTCCCTCATCCAGCTGCACATTCCCAGCTCTGGCATTGGATCCATCCGCATCCCAACTCCTCTCCCGGAAGGAATTTCAGGATCCAGGGGCTTCACTGGGAATTCCTTCCCAACATCCCCCCCATCCCTATCCCAACCCCCCCAGCATCTCCCTTTCTCCCAGAATCCCGGGTTTTTCCCGTTTTTTCCCAGGTTTTTCCCGTTTTTTCCCGGTACCTGGAGGCCCCTGGCCATGCTGAGGGCCACGTGCAGGATGGTGGGAGCCGGGAATGCTCCCAGGCCCTGCTCCCGGCGCTCCTCGATCAGATCGTTCAGGGATTTCTCCCCCCCGAATTCCATGGCCAGGCACAGGCTCCCGTCAGGAGCCTCCGTCAGGGCCCGGTACCCTGGGAACAACGGGAAA